GCCGGGAAAAGGAGGGACAATCTCCTCCTGTACCAGTCAGATCTGATTTGACGGTACACTCACACACAAAAATAAAAAAAAACAAAAACAAAGGGAAAAAAACCTACAAAAACAAACAAAAAAACCCCCAACAAAAACAATAACTACCTTTCCCAGCATTATGTCTTTTCCTTGAGATGGAAGTTTCACCATCCTTTCCGGTAAGGTTCACCTGGTTGCACTGTAATAGACATATCTAACTTTCCAGTTCATTTTCAGAGGCTGTAAACTATGAGGAAAGCTGTAAATTGTATGGGAGGTGTAAACCTTTGAGTGCAGCTCCTTACTACTACGCTATTAGAGCTCCCTCTGGTGGTAGCCCATAATCAGAAGGGGAAAGTCCTTATTTCTTGAGTAACTGTAGGCCAGGCATTTCCAGAAGACTTATGTTCTTTCTCTGGGGGTCAAGGGATTTTTGGATTATTTCTTGGTGTTAATGAGCTCCCCCTCCCCAGAATTTTCTTTCTTTCTTTCCTTTTTTTCATCTCTACTGTTCCCTCCTCCGAATTAATCAAATTTCATCTCTACTGAGGTAAAAGGTATTACTGGCCATACCCTAGGGGAAATGCACTTATGTATGATTATTGTTAGGTGCTGGAGTATGACACCATGAACGACTCTGGTCTTCCTCTCTTCTGCTGATTCTCCACCTTTCCAAGCATCATGCCCCTCTCCTAGCAACATGTCCAAAACATGTCAAAGCTTCACTATCCCTTCTTCCAAGGATCACTCTGCTCTTTTCTCAACACATTCTTTTGGCAGTCCATGGAATAGCCAGTGCTTTTCTCCAACACAGCTCAAAGGCATCAATCCTTCTTTCATCATGCTTATTCATTGTCCAGCTCTCAGATGTATAACAAGAGACTGAAAAGACTATGGCCTGAATCAGGCACACCTTTATATTCAAACTGACATCATTGCTCCTCAGTAATTTGGAAAGATCCCTGACAGTGGACTTCCCTAGTTCAATACATCTCCTGACTGCTGGTACCAAGGGTGTTGATTGTTGATCTAAATAAGATGAAATCATTGTTAACTGTTGCTTATCAACCCAGTGGTGAGGATTTTTGTCTTCTTGATGTTAAGATGTAATCCACAACCAAGGCTGTAGTCTTTGAAGTTCTAAAGCAAGTGTTTCAAGTCCTTCTCACTTTCAGCAAACAAGGTTGGGTCATTTGCATAATACAGATTGTTGATGAGTATGAGGTATTTCAGGAGAAATAACCCTTCTACAACTATTTCATTTATCAAGATCATGGGGGATCATTATATACATGTACTCTGGGGTACACACAGGATCACCAAGGTTATGACTATTGTCTTTGAGGGTCTCCCCACAGTCTATCACTTAACTCCCAGGACCTGCTGGGAATCTTCAGGCTAAATTAGAGGCTAAAAACACTTTATTTTTTGAGGGAAAACTGCTGTGATTGGTGGTGGTAGAGAGAGAGGTTTCCCAAATCTGAGATGAAAAACTCTGATCGTTAGAGGCGTGTAGATCATACTCCTGGCCCTTCCAGGACTGGGCAAAGATCTTGACTACTATTTGTATTCAGTCTGTGTTTTGCTTTATAGTGCCGTCTGTGCCTACATATGGGTTCTATATGATGGTGACATTCTACTTTTTTCATAGGGTCGTACATTTCATTGATGTCCTGATTCAGTCCTGTGTCCCAGGGCATCTCACTTCCCATGGCCCTACACTGATATCCAGCCCAACCTTGGAGTGCATTGTCCATGGGATGCCAAGCGCAGGTATAAATCAGGGCTTCAGGGCAATGGGGCAATAGAGCCACAGTGATACCGTGATGAGCTTGCATGAGAGGTGTATTGTAGTATACGGCCCACACTGCAAGTGCCAGCCTACCACAACGGTGCCCATGATAAACAGTCACTCAAAGTACTACCACTGCCACCAGCTTTCTGCACATCATCACCAGCACCAATAAATCCTGGAGGTCTGGTGGTTGAACCCCTCAATGATCTGTGTGTTTTCCCCAGGTTCTTCAGGGTACCCATCCCACAGTTCCATGTCACAGGATATAAAAGGAGCCTCATCATATGTTACAAACAGCAGTGGAAGGGACTAATGGGTGGCCAGTTAGTTCTGCGGAGTTGTTGACCATTCTATGGACGGAACAGAACAGTGAAGTTTAGGGGGGGGGGTTCAGCCTACAAGTCAACCTGCCTGCATGAACCTTTATCATTGCTTCCAGGAAAGTCAAGAGAAAGGTGCCCGGGGAGAGAAGCCAGGCAGCAGTCAGTGAGACTGAGGGGCAGCAGTGGGGATGGAGGCATTCAGTGTGGCATAACTGCCAAGCAACAGTAAGCACAAAGACAACAGAGGCCACAGTGCTGACAGCCACAGCAGCCTCCTGCAGATACCACAAAGAGCTCAGTGTGAAGGACTTGGAAGCAGGAAAGCTGCAGTAAGCGATGGACAGAGCCCCTTAGTCTCTGCACTCAGTTTCTGCAGGCTGCCAGAGGCTAGGAGCCCATACAGTACAAGCCTAGTACAATCCTGTTGCTACTCATGCCTAACCAGCTCCCCAGTGGTGTCACATCACCAACACCCAGATCACCAAGTCTACCAATTCTTCAGGGTTGTACAACCAGCCCTCTAGGCCCCCCTCCATGGCCAACAAAACCACATGGTGTATATGCCATTATCCTCACAGATAATAGCAGTTACCATGGACTTAATATAGGAGCTCCCTCTGCTCATGCCATGGTCAAGTCCAGCCAAAGTTAAGTGGTACAAGTGGCTCCTATATATTTAACTTCATGTGAGACTGGCTTCATGGAGCTATGGATGGAAAAGGGCCTACAGGTTTGCCAGGGCCTGTCCCACCTCTGCCTCTTTTATTCCCTCTCTAGCTTTTCATAACCAACTCTCTCCAGCTAGAGACGCCCACTCCTAGATCCAAATAATGAAGGGGAAGGGGCCACTTGATCCATCAAGAGACAAAGGAGGCCTCTCCTATTTGTTCTTAAAATCTGTGTGTACCAGGCTGCAGAGGTTTTCAGGCTGAGTGAATAAAACCTGCGAATTGACTGTGGATAAATAGCTGGAGGACCGTTGTCAGGAACTGACCTTCTAGGATTCCTAAGGGAAGAGATGAAATTATAGGGCCACAGTGTGTGTGCATCCTTGGGGAAAAGGGTAGATACTCTGGCCCTGATCCCTCACAAGAAGTTAGTCAAGCTCTACTGTGGTCCTCTGCCTGTCCTCCTCTTGAAGGATTGCCTGCCTCGCTGCAGTTTTCTTCCTGCTCTGGAATCACCTGAGGGATCCAAATGGTGCTCAAACTATAGCAAAGGAAGATCTGAGATAGGAAGAAAGGCAGATGATACCCGGCTGACACCCAAATCCTAGCTATGATCCTCCCCTCTGAACCTCCAGATTAGAAGTCAGCTCTTCTCATGGTCCCCAAGAGTATCAACTGGAGCCAGGATGGCACTTGGTCACTTTGTGCCTCTGTCATGGATTAGGGGTCCTAGAAGGCAATACTTTCTGTTAGCTCCCAGAAAATCTTCCTTGATCTTGACCTATCAACTCCAACTCCTTCAGTGCTTGCACCTTTTACCTTTTCTGGAGTCTTACTGGTTACTCCATCATTTCTGCATGACGTCTCAACAGTGTTGCCTCCATGTGGGACTCAGAGCCAACGAGGACCAATGGGCGGCATGTAGGCCACAAAGAGCTAAAAGCACTGGTTGTTTCACAACCTTTGTCCCTCCATGCCTACCACCTCTCCTCAAACCAGAGCACTTTCAATGCACACACTCATACACACACACTCTGACAGTGAGGGTAGATAGCCATAGTATTTGGTGTATCACAGTCACTAAGTCTGCTCATTATTATTTATTTTTAAAATATATTTAAACAGCAGCAATCACTTCCAAAATGCAAAAAAAGTTACAGTATTCAGAATAAAATTAATGTTTATAATGCAAATCAGAAAGAACTTAAAGTACAACTGAAAAATCACGCAGCACTGGGGATGACTGGAGAAGTCAAGGCTCACTGGGCAAAGGATCAAGCCAACAAAATGATTCCACCTGAGAGGTCTCCATCCCCCAAATCACACCCCCAACTCCCCAGTGATGGAGCCAGTGTCCTCTGGGTTAGAGAAGGAGAATCGGCAAAGAGCAGGCCCTCTGTGGGAGATCCCCCAAACCCAGTTCCCCCCACCAGTCAGGGACCTGCTAATCGACCTCCTCCATGTTGCTGTAGGTAGGGGCTGGGCGGTCCACAGGGGGGATGAAGCGCTCAGGGGCTGTCCGCGGGGGGGCCACCTCGGGGGCCTGGCCAGGGCCTAGTCCCTGCAACAGAATACGAGGACAGGGGTTGAGGACTGACTGCCCAGCATGCCGCCTGGCATCCCGGGGGTGCTGGCTCAGAGCCCGGGCACCCAAGGGAGGGCCCCAAGGCAGGCGCAGACGGCATCGGCATTGAGACAGAGAGACGAGATCAGGCCTGAACAGTCTTGCTTTATTAACACTTTAAATACAGGAAGAAACTTGGACAGGACCAAGCCCCAGGCCAAGGGTCAGAGCAGCAGGACGAATGGACACACAGTTGGACGGATAGCTGCCCTAGGACACTCTGCTCCTCTTGAGGGGCTAGAGTATCCCCCCCTCTTCCCCCAGGATGCACACACTGAGGCCCAAAGCCCAGAGTCCATCCCCACCAGGCAGCCTGGCCTGGCAGACAGGCAGGTGGGCCAGCTCACAGCAGTTGCCTACAGGTGAGCTCATCTCCAGCGACTTTGGGACACCAGAGGATAGAACACGTTGAGCACGAGGGCTACCAAAGCTGCTACGGTGCCCAGGACAAAGTACCGGAGGCAGCCCTCGTCTGGTGTGCTGGGGCCACGTGGCGGGGGGCCCACCCAGTCTTGGGGCCCCCAAGGGCCCAGGGGCCCAGGCCCCTCAGGCACCGGCTCCTCCTCGGCTTCCAGCTCCTGCCAAATCCGGGAAGCCTACAGTGTGCGGAAACGGCCATCAGCACCCGGGCGTGGGGGATCCAATGTCCCTGTGACCTCTGGTGCCCAACCCACCACAAAGGTGCCCGTGATGAACTTAGTCAGTCACAGAGTGCTGCCCCTGCCACTGTTTCCTCTGCACATGATGCCACTGAAGGATCTACTGGAGCACCACCATCACCATCACCAAGTTTCACAGGTCTGGCAGAAAGAGGACAGAGATACCAATCCCAGGGCAATCTCCTGGGTCCCTCCCACTAATGTCCAGATCTGGGCTACTGTCTCCTACAGGGATTTCTCTGATCCAGACCAGAGAGGATCCAAGGGGAAAAAAAGGAGCAGCAAGGACAACTCCATTTCGAAAGGAGACATGGCTGTTCCCTCCAGTTTGGCCTACAGCCCCCCTATATTAACAGGAGAGAGAGACCTCAAAGGCTCAGTTGGGACACAGGCTCACCTCAGAGAGGGTGACTGCCACCCAGGGCTGTGGCCAGTCCAGATAAGGCACTGCCTTAGGTACGCGCTAGAACACAGGGATGCTGACAAGGGACAGGCCGTGAGCTGGCCTGTGGGAAGCACATGGAGGAAGGCTGAGAAGGCATCAGGTTCAGTCTGTTCATGGCACTATGTTCAGTGAGGGCAGGAGCAGTGGAGCGGCCTGTACCAAATGGGTACCTATGTGCACACTGGTAGCATTTTGGTACACTTGTACCTTTGTTTTTTTTGTTTGTTTGTTTTTTACATGTACCGTCAAATCAGATCTGACTGGTACAGGAGGAGATTGCCTCCTCCTTCTCCAGCAGAGCATCTGGTGGACTTGAACCGCATACCTCTGGGTGCAGCATCTTGCCACTAGGCCATCAGAGCTCCCTTACACTTGTATCTTTGTGAGTGTCCCTAAGATGTGAGATGCTTCTAGCTAAGGCTGTGACATAAGGAATTCTCTTTGTGATTCGCACAAACTTTAAGCCAGGCAGCTGAAGAGAAAGCTTCACCTTTCTATCTCCCCCCAAATCTGCCCTGGAAAGCCTTCCCCGTGCCTCACCTGGCTGGCAGCAGCCTCAGCTGTAGGACCTAGGTCTGGGTGGTGCTCAGAGTGGCCTGCTCGGGGGGGTCTCTCCACGGGAGAGTTCCGCCGGCGGTAGAAGAGTACATAGGCATAACGCGTCACAACCTGGCTTTCATCCACTGTTGTCACTGTGCTGTCATCAAACAAGCGCCAGCCTGTAACAGGATGGAAAGAGTATGAACATAGCCTGCATTGCCAACTGTGCCACCAATCTTGTCAGCTGCGCATGCCCTCACCCACGTCACTGCGCTGGCTGCTGCGGTCATTGGGCAGACGGGCACAAGCAGTGTAGTGGCCACCAATCATGCCTCCGTAGTGGTTGATGACAGCATATAAGTCATAGCTGGGCAGCTGCTCCTCCTTCTGGCCAATGCAGAATTTGCTCAGGTCCAGGTTCCTGTGGTTCCAGTCAGAAAAAGGTGAGATGTTAAGCAGGTACTCAATCCTCAGTCTCATGTCCCACCCACTGCCAAGAGTGTCCACTGCTCACCGAACAGGGAACTCCACCAAATCATTGATCTTGTCTCGCCAAATGAAACTTCGGAAGGAGAAGCGCTTGAGCTGGACAATGAGCACATTTGGCAGGCGCCACAGCAACAGCTGCTTGGAGGCCTCTCGGTGCTGTTTACACTGCGGGCAGTACCTACAGAGGAGGGGGGGAGTGAGGACCAGCAGGTCTCCATCCACTCCACTCAGCCTCACTACCTGCCTGCTTCCCTGTTCTCACCAGGCCTCCTCGGGTGCCAGCACCTCAGGCCGTGTGAAGAGGTTTAGGCATTGGTCCAGGGTGAAGTGGCCAGCGCGGGCAGCCTCGCCAGCAGAGCCTGGATCTTCAGCACATTCCAGCTCCTTGGAGGCGACCAACACGAATTCTTGCAGACGGTCATTGTTCCGCCAGACCAGAGCCAGGCTGCAGTCATCACCGAGCTCTAGTGGAGCCTCTCCTGGACATGGAAGAGGACAGGGGTCATGCAGCTGTGAGGAGCAGCCTCTTCAACCCATCCCATGGTTCTGACCCACGGCCACAGTCACCTTTGTCCTCTAGCCGCTGTTCTCGGTTAGATGCATCGATTTTATAGATATAAAACTGAGGTGTGTGGGCACTCACAGCTTCACTTGGATGTTGGTACCCAGGAATGGCAGCTGGAAAAAAACAGGCTGTCAGAGCTCTCTGCTACAAAGTGCCTGAACGAGCTTTCCCCCACTTTTCCTACATTCTAGCCCAGCCTTCTAAGCCTTTCAGTGGGTGTTTACCTTCAGGCCGGGACACTCTCTCCCCAACAGGCAAGGAGCCAATTTCAGTGGGCCCACTGGCCAGTATATCTGAAGAAACTCCGCTGGTGCTGGGCATGGGGCCTCGATCAGGGGCTGACCACGCCCGGGGAATCCCTGTGTCCCCCTCATCCAAAGGGGCTACCAGCTGGAGCTCAGGAGGTTGGGTGGGATCCCTCTCGCTGTCCCCAGCCTCCAGAGAGCTCGTAGAAAGCAGTGAAGTACAGCCAGGGCCCTGGGACTCCAGAGCTGTGCGGCCAGGCTGGAAGGGTGGCTGGAACACACTCACCGAGTACCTAATAGGAGGCAGCAAAGCAAGATAAGGCTCCTGACCACCCTCCTGGACACCTCTGGGTATCTCTGCCCCGCACACACCCTGCCGGACACTTCTGGACATCTCTGCCCCACACCCACCCCACTTGAGTCCAGATACTGGTCACTTACCGAGCATAGCCCTCCAGCAGCTGAGCAAGTCGGGCATAAGTGAGGCGTGAAGCAGGGACACTGACCAGGAAGGGGTAACCGATGTTCTCAGGACGACAGAGGCCTTTGTGATCTGGCCAGTGAGTTTTCTGGCATAGTCTACAAGAAAAGAGAAAGTGAGCAGAGTGCTTTAGCCCCAGGGCCTGGGAACTGTTTATGCCAGCCCTGCCCTGCCTCCCTTAGGGCCTGGTGAAGTGGACTGGCAAGGAACACTTAAAATACATTATCACTCTGTGTGTGGGAAGGGGCAGGATGGCAAGCGGATGGGGGGGAGGTGGAGAGGTGAGCATGGGGATTCTCACTGGTTACAGTAGCCCACGCGGTAGCACCGGGTACAGCGCTTCAGCTTTTCATCCTCTGACTGCTGCTTCCGCTGGCAGGCTGCACACTTGGAGATGGGGATGCTGGGCACCTGAGGGCGCTAGGGGTGGGTCGTCTGGCTCAGCAAAGCCAGGCCAGGTGAGAGTGTCCCCACCACCAGGGCTCTGCCATTGTCAGGTTGGCCTCCACTCACCTGCTGCACCTCTAGCACCACCACTCGCTCCTTAGCCAACTCAGGGGACAACAGCTCAAAGCAGAGAAGCATGTCCGATGGGGACACTGTGTCCAGTGAGTGGGAAGGCAGGAACACACGGTGGAAGCGATTCTTAATCACCTGGGGACAGAGAACACACAGGGCCACGTAAGAATGAACCCTTTCCCAAGCTGGGTCCCAGAGCACAGTGAGAAGGCTTGGCTCTGATTGTGGGTTCATGGGGACAGGAGTGGGATTTGTAGCCCCAAAGAGGCACATACTTTTCCTCAATCCTGTCACCATCCTCCATGTGCAATGCAACAAGGAACCTAGTGAATCCAAGGGCCAGAAAGACAGGCCTGAGGCAAGAATAAGATCTCTACACACCGAGAGCCTCTATCCTGCTGTCAACCAGTGGAAGACTGCAACATGGACATTATGGAAGAGCCATATCCAGAGTACTACTTCCCTACTCTGAAACTCTGAGAAAAGGATGCAACTAGACTACAGACTAAGAGTCTCTGGGATAGTCCAGCACATGGACCTATGATAACATAAGAGACCAACAGGATGTAAAGACCACAGTGGGTGGACAAGCAATCCTGCACCTTCATTTCTTTGTCCGAAGAGAGAAAAGAAGCTCTCTTACCACAGAAGAGAAGCAACCCCTGACCCCAGCTGGGAGCTGAGGATACCTCCGCTGTATAGCTCAAACACCTGGTTCCAACCTTACCTCAAAGCAAGAATGCATTGCCTATTTCTGCACAGTAGCACAACACTTTACAAACTATACCACTAAAGGTCCACACACAGATTTTGTGCAGTTCACACACATTCACATATATGTACATGATTACATACATGTGCCCACGTGCTGTGAGCACACAAGGAGGTGAATGGACGTACCTCAGCCAGACGAAGGTTCTCGGGCTTCACATGGACACTCTGAGAGAGGGAGTCCAGCACTTCACTCGCACTGGAATTCTCCTTGCTGACACTCACCAGGAACTGTGGTGACGAGGACAGAGTCAACAGGAGGGGGAGGGCAACTGCTCTGGACAGTCGGAGGACAGAGGCTTAACTTCTCACCTTAATGGGCTTGCTGTGGGGCTCCCGGGCAAAATAGAAGACGGGGAGAACCTTTTGCTTCTGTGGCAAGGGCACCGGCAGGTAGAGGAACGGGTCAAAAGTAATGGACACCTGCCAATAAACAGTAGAGACTTCATAAAGAGTAGGCGGCTGCCCAGGGAGTGGAGGGCAGAACCTTCACAACCAACAAGCAAATCCTCGGGCTTAAGAACACTGGATGGACTAGGTTGGCTCAATGCCTTCCAGAAGAAAACAGTCCCTCTTTCTGGATTCAATCTGACCTCTTTACCAATCTTCCTATCACCTCAACTCCAAGTGCCTTTCCAATCTTATCCACATCCCTAACATACCTTATCTTTCATGGTTTTGGTCCTGAACGTCACTTTTCCCTCATCTGGGGAACATGCCCACCCTAACCTCTTTAGCCTCAGATCTCACAGCCCTTGGCCATATACTGGCCTGCAGCATCTGATAATGCTGGACATCACCAGACCAGGCCAGTAGGCCTCTTTGCAGGGGCCCCTCTTCTTACGAGGAACTCCATACCTTGGTGCACACAGGGCACACCAGCTTCGATTTGTACTGGCCCTGAAACAGGTCCACAATGAAAGAGTCATTCCTCATCTTATGCCTCTGCCACGCTTCCTCAGCTACCACCTAAAAGGAGAGAAGAATGAGGCGTGAGGAGACCTGAGAGTTGGGTATGCATGAGCCGTATCCACTCTCTGCCCCCATCCTGACCTCATCAGGCCGCCCATCGGAGTCCACAGTCTCTGTGTAGGGCTTGTTCTGTATGCGGTTCAGATCTTCGTGCAGCCCATCCAGCAGGAAAGCCATGAACTCCTGGGCATCATGCTGTGCATAGCCTGTGAACTGGCTGGCCTTGCTTGCCACAATGGCCTGGATGTAGGAACCAAGGTGTGAGGATGAAGCCCTAGGTCACACCATGTGCCCAACCTTGCCTCCTCGAGCCAAAAGTGAGTGATCACCTTCAACTTGGAAGGCTGGAAGGCATGGTGGGTGCCCTTCCACAGTGCCCGCAGCAACACAGCAAAGCCGATGGCTAGTCGTCCACCAGTCCCCAGTGGATTGTTGTAGTTGATCTCAGTCTCAAATGAGCGGTCTAGGTCAAAAGAAACAGATGTGTGAGCCGGGGAAGGCATCCCACTGCCCACTCCCAGGTTGGCTCCTGGTCCCGCCCTCACCGTGGAAGAAATCTCGCAGCTCCCGCGTGTTGGACAGAGACTGGATGACACTGTTCATGAAGCAAGTGTTGCCTAGATTGACAAGGCCAGTAAAGCCTGGCAGACAGACTTTCTTTTCTTCCTCCTCCTCCTCCTCCACACTGTCTCCACTCACAGGGCTATGTGGCATTGGGGGCACCATGCACGTGGGCTTAGGCTGTGTGTGCAAAGAGGTCATAAGAGAGCAGCTCTGAAGCTTCCTAGCTGCCATCCTCCCACTCCAGGATGCTCACCGAGGCCAGGTGCGGCTCTGGTTTGGGGGCCACATGTTCCATGGGGGTGCGGGCAGCCACACCATCTAGCCCTGTGTCCTCAGACCTTGCTTTAGGTTTCTCCTTCTCCACAGCGCGGGCTTCCTCCTGACCGGTGAGTGGATGAGGAGTAGTACCCGGTGGGGTTGAATCCAGAGGGGTTGGACCTGTCGGCACGGCAACCTTTGCACCACCCACTGCACCTTAAAAAGGGGGAATGAGGGGGCTGGTGGTTAGCAGCATGTGGTGGTGTAGGGTCCTGGCCACATGGTCTGGGCAATGAAGGGAGCTCGTGTGCAGACCTCGTGAAGCTGGGGCCTCCAGGCCCCCCCAGCGCTGACTCTGCCGTTTACGCAAGCAGATATCGATTCGAGAGGCCGTGAAACAGAAGGTGCACTGCTCTGGCTCAATCAGGTTCCTACAAGAAAAAGCTAAACTCAGGGACTTAGGTGAAGCAGATGTTGGATTACATGGACTGGTGAGATGGAATCTGGGATGGAACAGGCATGGGGTAGGGTCGGGCACCACCCACCTGAGCTTCACCTGCCAGCGGAAGATGGTATGGGGCCCACAGCCTGGGTGCAGTCTAAGGAAGTTTCCATCCCTGTAGAAGAGGAGCAGGGCAGGAAAAGGGGATTGAGATACACCATTCAGCCAGAGGCACACTGCCTGTCCTGTCTCTTGCCCACCCACTCACCTAGTTTGGAAGATGAGTGTGAAGTCCTGCTCTCGGAATAGCACTCGAGAAGTGTCTCGGCAGATCTCCTTCACATACACGTGCACCACCACTGAGTCTGGCCCTTTCTCATACGAGTCATTCTTGACAAATGCCAGGCTCACCATGGACTCAGGGTCTGTGTTAGAACCATACCTCAGTATGACCCAGAACAAGTTTGAATCTACTGCTGTTCTGCCTACCAACTTTGCAATCTAAACTAGGGCTCCACTGACCCATCCCCGGCCCCACCTTTACCATCCACCAAGGCTACAGCATCTGCTGTCGCTGCCACCTCCTCCTTGGAGCGGTCACCTTTCCCTGTGTCTCTGTTCCGTGCTATTGCTGGGGAGCCTGGGTCATTCCTGGGGGATACTGTCTTCTCTACTGTCAAAAGAGCTCGACTCTCTTCTGAGCCCAAAAGGCAGGTCTGTGGGTTCAGTGGTGGTACTCGGAGCTGTTCCTCAGCCCCAGCCTATTCAGAGAGATTGTAGACAGGTTCAACTCCAGATCTAATCAATGAGCCTCACTATCATTCATGGCTTTCCCCCTAAGCCATCCGCTCCCAGTCAAATACTATCCCTTACCTGGGTAGTTGACTCAGCCAAAAAGGGTGGAGCATCACCCCGGGGTCCAGGACCATCCCTAGGCGCTTCCCCCTCTGGCCCTCTGCGAAGATGCACAGCTCTCTTGGCGCTGGGTCCTGCCTGGATGCCAGGGCCAGCCCCTGCCCCAACCTCGCCACGACCCTGGGCCCGCTTCTGGTTCCGGGCCTCCTGCTTGGCCCTGCGGGGCTCAGGGCCTGGCTCCAGGGCACCAGGAGACAGTTCCTGTCCATTCTCCTGGCACCGCAGCCCTGGTGCCAGTTCTTGGGTTCCCAATGGCTTCTTCTGTCAAAGATACAGCAGTTAAGACACTATGGACTCACTCTCAGCACCCCCAACTTGTCACACACCTAGAACTCACCAGAAGAGAAGGCCATGTGAGCAGAGGGACCTTCTTGGGCAACGCTAGCTGCAAAAGACCACCTTTGCGGGCCTGCACTTTGGTACAAGAACTTTCAATTTCAGCATAGAAGACTCCACCCCACTGCCGACCATCTGGAGACAGAGTGGAGAGAGTGAAATGGGGCAAGGGATATCAGAAGACTGAAATGTAGCTCTAGGCTCAGGGCAAAAGGTCATACCTGGAAGCCTCACCACACAGTCAGTGTCTGTGAACGCAGCATCCACCTCCTCCAGCCGCAGGGCACTTGCTCCCACATGCAACTTGACAATTACTTCATCTGCATTCTGCCTCCACTCAAGCAACAATTCTGTAAACAGAATGGCAAAAAGATCAGGAGGGTCTCTAAAGAGTACCCAAAGAGAAAAAGGGGGAGTGGGGAGAACACACACACACACACACACACACACACACTCTCTCTCTCTCTCTCTCTCACTCTCTCTCTGTCTCTCTCGCCACTATTCCAGATAGAAGTTACACCTCGTGTTTCCTCCCCTCCACTAGTGCCCTCTGTGGACCCTTTCACTACTCACCCTCTTTGCTCTGCTCCTCCCGAGGACTGGTCACTGACCCCAACAACAAAGGAAAGAACAGGAAGACCATGATGGGAAGTCAGCCTCCAAGGCAGTACCAGCCCACCAAGCACTTATCTTCAAAACCTTGGCCCATTACCCAGGCCTCAGAGTTGAGGCTCTAACCAGCTTGTCATGAACTATTCTTTCAACCAATACAGAGGAAGCAGGGAAGAAGGGTCATTTTTTCCAGAACACATTAGTTCCCATCTGCTCCGATTCCTAGTTCTATAAATTCAACAAGGTGGGGTGGGGAGGGGGCCGGGGCCATGAATGCTCTGGGAATGTCACTCCTACCTCTCCTGGGATCGCCATCCTTGCTCTCCTGGTTTGCGCGATCCTTCTGCTTCTTCTTACTAGTGACCTCATCCAGTCCTGGAGACCCCCTCCTTGGACCTGTGGCACTGGCCCCGCCAGACATCCTGAGCCGCTTTGTTGACAGCCAGAGTGCCCCGGGGTCGGCAACGGCGTCTGGGTCAGGGCTGCGGCGCTTCCTTCCTGGCCCAGCTATCTTGGCAACTCTTTGTGGTCAAATTCTCCAGCAGGGAACCAACAGCCTAACAAGAAGGGATCAGTGATCACAGGCTCCCTGGTTACAGCCCGAGATTGGCAACCTAGGACAGACACTCTAAACCTCTGGAGCAGTTATTTCCCTCCTACTTAAAAGTAGCTCTAGACACTTTCAACTTATTCTGAAAGGAAAAGAAATAATGCAACAAGCATTTACTTCTCAAGCCTCCCTAATGCCTGCTGTAACAGACCCATCACGCTGGAAACATGGTTGAGGAGGTGTCACCAGGTCAAGGCAGCTATGGCCTGGGACCAGCCAGGATCCTCCACCAATCTGGAGAGAAGCCATGGCTCCAGCCCATAGGGCTGGTGCTGTGGGCAGGGAGCTCAATTTTCCTACACTCTCACTGGCTGCTTAGTCACCACCCAGAAGTAGGAGGTGGAGGAGGAAGGCTGGAAAGGAGGAGACAATCAAGCAGCAAGAGGATCAGGCTCTGTGGCTAAGAACAAGCCCAACCCCGGTACCGCCACTGCCTAGCCAAGGTATGGTGGCTTCAAAGGGCCCCCGTCTGCCTCCTAATAGCTCTAACCCTCGCTGGTACCTACTTGGATGCACTTACTTTTCCTTCATCCTAAAAGAAATTTCTCTTTCCAGTCATTATCCTAAGTAGAAAAACATCTTCAAAAATTAGGGTGAAAAAGAGATAGCCAGCTGCCTGACACCCACCCTGCCCTTCAGCAGCATTCTTCTTCCAGGCAGAAAGATGTGTATGAAACTGGAACAAACATCATTCCCTTAACGGCAGATAACCTCGGTCATCAGCTCTGAGCCACTGAGACCTACTACTCAAGTTTCTCACAGACAAGCCAGTAGGTTTTGAGCCATTTGTCTATCCAAAATTAAGTCCCTAAACATCAGCTCCTGAGATGGGGGTAGGGATGAACCATGAATCCAGGACGCCTGGCAGCCTCAAATCGGGCCTGAGCCAGTAGCAGGTCAGAGTGATTAATCTGTGCCGGCCAAGGTGTGTGTGTGTGTGTGTGTGTGCACGTCGGGGGAGGGGTAATCCTTCTGCAAGTCAGATGTGCTGAAGGGCTGGATTGAATGACCGCCGGGCCCGAGCCAAGAAGCAAACACCTGCCGCATGTTCACATATCCAGATGCCAGGCGAAGGCCTCATTCCTCCCCCCCATCCTCTGGAAACATCGAGCAGAGAGCGGGCTGTCTGGGGGCACTAACCACAGACCTTGGCCAGATCGCAAGCGATCTCTCACCTCCGATTCCCTAGCCCGTCACCTCCTCCAGGCCTGCACTGACTCATCTCCCAGCCTCCGAATCCAGGCCCAGGCCCGTCACTACCTCCTCCAGGCCCAGACCTCGATTAATGGACTGCCCAGCCTCCGAATCCCGGGCCCGTCACCACCTCCTCCAGGAAGCCTCCCTTGCTCGCTGCCAGCCCCGTTCCAGGAAGGAGGCCGGATAGTGGCGTAGCGTAACGGCCCTGCCTGCGTCGCCGGGCCCGGCTGGCCTACTGGCTCGAGGGGTCCGGGTTGACGCGGCCCGTGACCTTGAACACGCCGCCCCGGGACTTCATCGCGGTATCTCCCGCCCGGCAAGGGGCCCAACTGGCTGTGCTTCCCACTCACCGAGCGAGGCCGCTGCCGCCAGCCCTCTTCAGGGGCCCTGGCAACCCTGCTCTCGGTTCCGGTTCCGGCGACGGGTCGGTTCCGGTTCCGGCGCGCCCCTCCCCCTGTCCCGGCACCGCTGCCACCGCCTCAGTAGCTTGTTTTGTTTCGACTTATAGTTACGGCTCCGAGAGGCGGAGCGCCGAGCCGGTGACGCACTTCCGGCGGGAACAGGGACAAGCGGCTCCCGGGAACTCGGGGAGCGGCCACAGCGAAGGGGCGGGGCTCCCGGACTCCGCCCCACCGGGACCCCGCCTCTCCGGGGCCCAGCCTGCAACAGCCCCGAACTTCCGCCTGGAGACCCCCCCATCCCAAATCCGAGTCTAGACACACACAGTGGAGTTTCATGAGGATTTATTGGTGGACCTTGCTGAGCCAAGAACTCTTCCATGCATTGGCACCGTAAAATACTGTGTGCAGGACCGGGTACCAGGGTGGACCTGGGCAGGGTCACTGACAGGTGTTGTAGATCTGGACCTGCAGATTGATGGCTTGAAGCACGCTGCGCATCCTGGCCTCCAGCCCGTCCAGCTGGGCTGCCTTGCCTTCCAGAGCTCGCTCATTCTCCTCATAGGTGCCCTCTAGCTCTGTAAGGGACAAGTCTTAGCCAAGTGGTCCTTCTCCCAGACCTCCATATGTTGGATGCCCACCTGTCCTGCTCCTCACCCTGCAGCCGCTGCAGTTTGTCCTGCGCAGCCTGCAAGAGACTCCGAGCCTCATCCCTCAGTTGCTCTGCCCGTGCCTGCGCACCTAGCACACCCTGGGCCTTGAGCTCAGCCAGTGACTTCACCCTCTGGTACTGGTCACCCAGTGGGCCCTGTAGCAACTGTGAATGCAGAAGACAGGGTCAGGCTTGTGGCCCAGCCTCCACTGCTTCCCCGATTGTCTCCCACCTGACTCTGCTCCAACTTACCTGCTCAGCCTCTTGGGCTCGAGTCTGGGCACTGCCTGCCGTTTCCTCAGCTTGAGAGGCTGCAAGGCTATTACCTGCCCGTTTCAGTTTGAGAGCCTCCAGGAAAGTATCCAGTTGCCGAACCCGATCACCTGCAGAGCCCAGTGCCTGCTCTGTACCTGCTATCCTTTCCTGAACCTGCCATGGGTAAATCCAAGGTTAAAAAAAAAATTCATGGTTTATGACTGGAACATGGCCTCACTGATGTCTCAGGGAGGCCAGGCTGTACCTGTCGTAGGGTCTCTTCTGTGTCACGTGTGTCAACTGTTGCTCCCCGGATGGCCCCTTGGGCAGCACTCTGTGCCCTCCGGGCCTCGTCAAGTGCCGCCTGCACTGTCTCTGCCTTCTGTTTCTCAACTTCAGCCCTGGTCCTGGGGAAGAATGGAAATTAGAGTCTGCAGGAATCAGGACCAGATGTCAGGGATAGAGGCAAAGGTTGGAGTCAGACCGTGCCCGGCGTGCATCCTGTAGTAGCTGCTCGGCCCGCCGCACATCTCCCACAGTATGTGCCAGAATTGTATCCACATCAGCTAGGCTTCGGACTCGCTCTGCAATTTCAGCTGCCAGGTTCTGTATCTGCTCAGGTGAGGCTGGGATGGAGAGCTCAAGCACCCGTGTAGCCACCATTTCAATGCTATCAGGATCAGCCCCCTCCTCTATGGGAACATAGATAAGGACTTAGGATATAGAATCTCCAGTTTAAAGATAGGGACACAATCTTGGAATGTGGATCCAAGAACCACATGAGGGACACTGGCTTGCTAATACACACAGGGGTAGAGGTGAGACATGGGAGGGGGGACACAAATTCAGGGGCAGAGATTTGAGGATCACATTTCCAAATGTAGACCCAGGGAGAGATACACAGACACAGGGGAAACAATCACATGACTGGGACTGAGTGGAGAGCTCACGGCTAAGGAAGTCCTTCACGCTCTGAATGAGTTCCCGCAACTCTTGGTTGGCCTGTTCCACCTGTCCTCTGGTAGCATTAGCTTTGTCTCGGACCACCTGGGCCCGCTGTTGTGCCTCGCCAGCCCGCCGACGGGTCTCAGCCACCTGGCTCAGGATGCCACCACTTTCTGACAGGGCCCGCTGCAGCTCTGCCTGGGTATGTCTGGCCCGGCCCAGTGCCAGGTCTGCCACGGCTGCTGCACCATTGCAGTTGAGGCCCCCACAGCGGGGCTGTCCATCCTCATCACGACAGCCAGCACCCCCACAGGGGCTTGTAGAGCAGGGTGCATCCCCAGGGGCCCCACATACCTGCAGACACAGGGTAAATGAGGCCTCGGTAGAACAAAGGCTTGTCCCACTTGTCCTATCCCAGACCTGCACCTTACCAGCTCATTTATGCCTGTCAGGCTCAGGGTGTTGGTACGGGCAGTGAGATTGGCCAGTGCCTGCTGGTTGGCTGCATGTATGTGATTGAAGTTTGCCTTCTGGCCATCCATCAGCACTGTTGTCCGGTGCCGGGTGGCAGCTGAGTCACTCACAAGGCTGGGAACTGCCAGAGTTGAGGTGTTGGCACGACGTTCTGCCTCTGTAGATTGCCTGTGAGCATGACGTATGCTGTCATAGGCACCTAAATTGGGCAGAGGCAGGCAGTCAGCTGGAGATCAACTCTGATCCACCTGCCTAATTGGCCAACAACTCACCCAGGAAGTTAGAATGCTTGAGCAGATCCAGATGCTGGCCAAGCTGGCGTAGTGTGAGGTTAAGTGCAAGTCCATCCCGCTCCAGCCCACTTAGTGCATGATTGGCATTGAAGTTCCCATCCTGTACATCAGTCAGCTTTGCCTCTAGTTGAGTCAGGTGCTCAGTGGCTTCCCCAATCTCATGCCTGCATCAGTATGAGTGGATGCGCATTATTTAGAGGGATATCAGCTCGGGTCCTTTGTGCCTCTGCCCCATCCCTCCATGTATCCGCATGAACCCATCCATACCTCAACTCCTCTGTGGCCTCCACAAGCTGTGCAGTGGAGACAGCGGAAGTGTTCCGGGCACTCACGATGCCCTGTACAGTGTCCAGCTTCTCCTGTATGCTCAAGAAATTGCTCTCAAAGGCTCCCAGCACACCTGTCTGTTGCAACTCCTGCACCCGCTGCGCCAGGTGCCGAGTACGGGTAGCCAAGTCCTGCACCACACGGTCCCAGTCCCCAAAACAAGCATGGCAGGGGTGGCAAGCAGGAAAGACACCTGAGAAGCCACGGGCACACTGGTCACAACGCACACCAGATACACCCGGGCGGCAACTGCAGTGGCCTGTGGATCGGTGACATTGAGGCGAATCTATTCCATGAGGGTTGCAATCACAGGCTGTGAGGAAAGGCACATTTCAGTTAGGACTCCAGTGAAACATCCTAGGAAGTCCCCATCCATCTTGGTCCCTCGCTGACTCTCTCACCTCGGCACTGCAAGGCAGGGTCTCCCCAGTGGAGCTCCTGGCACTCGGAGCAGGTCCTCCCCCCAAAGCCAGCACGGCAGTGGCACTGCCCTGTGAACTAGATGAGATCAAGGTAAGGGGCCAAGCCTCTGTCAAAGCTGAGCTCTGCAGGCAGGAAACTGACAGCTTCCCTATCCACCTAGAGATCCCAGGAGAGCATTTTATACCTCATTACATGTGGGACCTGTGGCCCGGCTTGGATGACAGGCACAAGGCTGGCAGCCACGTCCACTGGTGAGGTTCCAGAAGTTGGGGGCACAGCGGTCACAGCTCAGGCCCTGAACGTTGGGGAGGCACGGGCACTGCCCACTGCTTGGGTCACAATGGCACCAGCTGGTAGATGGGCACTGCTGGGGATCTGTCCCCAACTGGTTGCAGGTACAGCCTATGCCAGGCAAGTGAAGCACATTGGTGAAGGCAAGTCCACTCAGTAGATAGCAGTCCGGCCTAGCCAGCCTTTCCAACACCCATACTCACGGTGACAGCTCTGTCGGGGAGCCTGCCCATGGAAGCCAGGCTTGCAGTGGGCACACTGTGGTCCCTCTGTGTTGTGTAGGCAGCGCAGGCATTGCCCCGTGCGGGGGTCACAGGCGTCAGGGTCCACGGGGTCAATGTTCCCACTGCACTCACACGGCTGGCATTGGCCTCCTGGCCTAGATGGGTCCCCAAAGTGCCCAGGAGCACAAGCATCACAGCGCAGCCCTGCCCACAGTTAGGGGGAAGGAATGAGTGCTCAGTCCAGCCATCCTGTCTGGATCCCAGTCTCCACCTACTCCCCTCACCTGTGTAGCCTGCCTGGCAGCGGCACACAACCTGCTGGGAGTATCCATCTCGGTGGCAAGAAGTCGCAAAGTGCCGCCGGCTCCCAGGGCCTTCAGGACAGGGGCAGGGCCGACACTGACCTCCATGTGGCAGCCGTGGGTCCCCATAGAAGCCGGCAATACACCTTCAGGGAGAGGCAGGAAGGAAGCGATGTATCATTCCCAGGCTGCCTGCTGACTCAACAACTGACTCGTAGCAGCTCTAGGCTCACCTTTCACAGTGCTCACCCCCCGTGTGATCACGGCAGCCCAGGCAAGCGCCTGTGTGGGGGTCACAGTCGTCTGCACGCCCGTTGCAGACACATGGCCGACAGGCAGGGAAACCCCACTGGCCACGCCGGCAGTGGTCACAGCGAAGCCCAAAGGCACCAGTTCGGCATGGGCATTGCCCACTGGCCCCTTCACAAAGGCCACTGAGCGCCCCTTCAGGGCTGCACTGGCAGGCTGGGGACAGGGCAGAGACTGAGTGTAGGGGGTGATTTGAGGGCTAGCTAGGTGGGGTTAGGACAGGAAGGTGAGGGAATGAAGGGAACTGCAAAGTGATTTGGGAATAAGAATATGGCTGTGGAAAACAGATTAAAGTGAGGAAGGATAAAAGTCATTAGGAAGAGCAAGAAATAGGGAGGGGAGGAAGGGGCAGGCAGTACAGGCAGGTACCTCGACAGCCCATGGGACCAAAGCCATAGTAGCCAGGGGCGCAGCGATCACAGCGGCGCCCAGCAACTCCAGGTTTGCATAGGCACTGACCCCCGTGGGGGTTGCACTCAGAGCTCAGTGAGCCCTGGGGGTCACACTGACAGGCTGTGGGAAAGAGGGTCAAATCCGACTGGGCCCCCTGCCTCTGTCCCACCCACCCATGCTACACACACTCACGAAGGGCACCGTTGTAAAGCAGAACAGATGCGCTGATGAGGAGAGGGGCACAGGTCTCGGAGGGTGGGGTCTTGCTAGGTGCTAGCCCCTCCTCATGGCAGCGGTAGTGTTCAAAGGTGGCACGGCGTTCCAAGGCTGCCGCATCACCTCCACTAAACATCTCCAGTACCAGGACCCGGGGCAGCAGCACCAGCTGGAGGGATGAACAAGGAAGAGTGAAGCTAATTTCGCGTTACAAGGGCACTGCAACTTCAGTTACCTGATTCAGTTACCTGATTCAGCCATAGCCCTGCCCCTTTGATCGCAGCCCCTTTCCTGCTCAGCTACAACCGCAGGCCCCACCACCCGGGTCATGCCACCTTGGCTGATAATGGGGAGAAGAGACTGTTTACCGAGTCAATGAGCAGGCCAGGTCCAGAGTGGGCACCTCCCCTTCCTTGCACCAGCTCTAGACGCAATGTGTAAGAGATGCCAGGCTCGAGGCAGATGGGACTGGGAAGTACAATGGACCTGGGAGGAAATGGGGATGGTCACAGGGGGTCATTCAGGGTTTCCAGACCTGACATCCTGGCCTCTCCCACCCAATACCCAGCTTCAAAACTATGAGCCATCATAGAGACTAGTGCTCTGCTGAACTGGGCCAGCAGACAGGTGGGCAGTCCTACAGAGTATCTGGCATGGAAAACTCCCATAAATGTGACTTACTTTAATAAGCCTCCTTTGAAGACCTGTATGGCTGGAAAATGCCACACAACCCAGCAAATGCCAAGTATTTCCATAGCACATATAGTTGATATTCTTCTTCAACAACCACTTATTTAATTCATAGTCCAATCCCTGCTACATTGTCTGTTTTCTTCACTGAGAATATTCCACTCTCCAATCCCCCACTTTGGCAAAATTTGTGTCCTATCATGCTAGAAACAGCCTGTGCCGTGTGCCAAGGTTACTCACTGATGACCCCAAATAGTCAAACGCAGTGCCTACTTCTCTATTCTTACCAGAATCCAGCATTAAGCAGCATATAATGAAGTCCGTCTGTTTTCCTCTTTGAGAGGTTCTTTCCTCTTAGCTTCAGAGACCCTATCCATATCCTTGCTTCCCCTCTCCCCTAAGTCTATTCCTTAGCCTCTCCTTTTCAATTGGACTCTAACACCAGAGTGCCCTAGAACTTCATCCCGAGGGGCAGAAATAGAAATAGTCTCTTTAATAAATTGGAAGTGCTACAAAACTAGATATCCACAGGTACAAAAAATACCCATCCTCACACTATACACAACAGCTATCTCAAAATGGATTAAAGACCTAAATGTTAAATATAAAAATAAAAAAATATAGAAAAAGGCATCAAGGAAAAACTGTGGGACCTGATCTTTTGTGAAAATATGATAACAAGCATAACAAGTACACAAATAGAAAAAGAAAAAAAAACCCCAGGTGAAATCTCAAAAAAAGGAAAAATGTAGTGCTCATTTTGGCAGCACATATACTAAAATTGGAACAACACAGGCAAGATTAGCATGGCCCCTGTGCAAGGATGACAAATTTGTGAAGCATTCCATATTTAAAAAATTTTAAAATGTATCTGTTTAGATCATAACAAACTGGCTGACTCTGAGAAGAATGGGAATCCCAGAACACTTGATCATGCAAACTAGAAAACTATACTTGGACCAAGCGGCAGTCGTCAGAACAGAGCAGGGAAACACTGCATAGTTCAAAATTGGGAAAGGTGTACGCCAGATGAGTTCTGTCTCAATACCTTTTCAACCTATATGCAGAACAGATTATCTGAGAGGCTGGGCTCTATGAGGAGAAGTGTGGCGTCAGGATTGGTGGAAGATCTATTAACAATCTGCGTTATGCAGATGATACAACCCTACTTGCTGAAACTGAGGAGGACCTGAAGCGCTTGCTGCAGAGGGTCAAGGACTGCAGCCTTCAGTATGGATTGAGGCTCAATGTCAAGAAGACAAAGATTCTCTGGGGAGGGGTGGGCAGGGAGAAAAGTACGGCAATGAATGAATGGAAATCCAAAACCTCTGTAAATGTCTATTAAAATTAATAATAATAATAAAAAAGGCAAAGATTCTCACCAGTGGACCAATTGGCAGCATCAGGATGGATAGTGAAGAGATTGAGATTGTTAACAACTTTAGTCTGCTTGGCTCCAGGGTCAACACTCTTGGCACCAGTAACCAGGAAATAAAAAACGTATTGCGAAGAAATGTCTGCTTTTAGGGACCTCTCCAAAGTACTGAAGAGCGATGGTGTCACTCTGGAGACTAAGGTGCGTCTGATACAGGCTATGGTCTTTGCAATCACTTGTTATGCATCAGAGAGTTGGACAAAGACTAGAAAGGATAGAAGGAGAATTGATGCCTTTGAGCTGTGGTACTAGAGAAGAGTACTGAATGTACCCTGGACTGCCAAGAAAACAAACATTCATCCTGGAGAGGGTTAAACCAAGCTGCTCCTTGGAGGCAAGGATTCTGGGGCTTCGTCTGACATACTTTGGAGTTGTAAGGAGGAACAGGTTCTTGGAGAAGGACATCATGATAGGGAGGGTGGAGGGACAGCGCAAGAGGGGAAGACCCTCTATGAGGTGGATTGATTCAGTGATTGGGGTAATTGGGATGGGTGTGTCAGAGGCAGTTCAACTGGCACATGATAGAGCAGGGTTTAGGGCTGTTGTACATAGGGTCACTATGAGTTGCAAGCGACTCGACAGCACATAACAACATATAAGGAGCTGGAGTAAGAAAATAAAAAGGGCCAAACTTGATCAGCATTTTTTAAACTGAAGGAACTGAAGAACAAATTCAAACCTCAAGATGCAATACTGAAGGATGCTTTGGGCAGAATATTGAGTGATCCAGAAGTATTAAAAGAAGATGGAAAGAGTATACAGGAGTCATTTTAACAAAATAAATTGGAGGTCACAGAAGAATTTAATGAAACAACATATGAGCAAAAGCTTGTGGTGATGAAGGAATAAGGTCAAGCTGCTCTGAAAGAATAGGTAAAAAACAAGGCCCCAGCAAATGACGGCATACCAATTGACATATTTCAACAGATGCTGCCCTGGATGTGCTCACCAAGTTGTGCCAAGAAATCTGGAGGACAACCACCTGGCCAACTGACTGGCAGAGAGCTATATCTGATCCCATTCCAAAGAAGCATGATCCAACTGGGTGCAGAAATTATCGAACAGTATCATTGATATCACATGCAAGCAAGATTTTGCTGAAGATTATCCTAAAATGACTGGAATAGCACATCAACAGAGAACTGCCTGAAGTGAAGGCTGAGTTTAGGAAAGGCCATGGTACTAGTGATATTACAGCTAATGTCAGATGGATCTTGGCTAAAAGCAAAGAGTACCAAAGGAAAGTTTATCTGTTTCATTGACTATGCAAAGGCATTTGACTATGTGGATCACTACAAACTGTGGCTGACTCTGAGAAGAATGGGAATCCCAGAACACTTTATTGTGCTTATGTGAAAACCTATACTTGGACCAGGAGGCAGTTGTCAGAACAGATCAAGGAGACATTGCATGGTTCAAAATTGGAAAGGGTGTGCACCAAGGATGTGTCCTATCTCCATCTCCATATCTTTTCAATCTATATGTGGAACTGATGATCTGGGAGGCTGGGCGTCAGGATTGGAGGTAGACTCATCAACAATCTTCATTATGCAGATGACACAACCCTGCTTGCTGAAACTAAGGACAACCTGAAGTGCTTGCTGCAGAAGGTCAAGGACCGCAGCCTTCAATTTGGATTGAAGCGCAACATCAAGAAAACAAAGACTTTCACTACTAGGCCAATTGGGCAGCATCATGATAGATGGTGAAGAGATTGAGGTTGTTAACAGCCTCAGTTTGCCTGGCTCTATAATCAACACTCTTGCTACCAGTAGCTAGGAAATGAAAAGATAAATTGCATTGGGAAAGTCTGCTGTCAGAGACTGCTCCAAAGTACTGAAGAGCAATGAAGTCAGTCTGGAGACTAAGGTGTGCCTGATACAGGCCATGGTCTTTGCAATTACTTGCTATACATCAGAAAGCTGGACAAAGACTAGGGATGACAAAATAAGAATTGATACCTTTGAGCTGTGATGAAGAAGAGTATTGACTATATTATGGACTACTATGAGAACAAACAAGTTCATCCTAGAGAGGGTGAAGCCAGGCAGCTCTTTGACGGCAAGGATTCTGAAGTTTTGTCTGACATACTTTGGACATGTTGCAAGGCGGTATCAGTCCTTGGATAGGGACATTATGCTTGGGAGGGTGAAGGGACAGTGCAGAAGAGGAAAACCCTCTATGAGTTGGATTGATTGAGTGACTGGGGTAATGGGGATATGTGTGACAGAGACATCAGGATTGGCACAAGATAGAGCAGGGTTTAGGGTTGTTGTACATAGGATTGCTATGAGTTGCAAGTGACTCAATGGCAAATAACAACAACATGCTTATTAAAAGAGTAAGCAGAGAGTAAGTGTAGGACTTTTGGGTAAGAAGATGAACTAGGCAGACAGGAGCCCATAACCCTTTAATACAGCCCATAACCAAAATACAGGAAAACAAAGGTAACAGATACAGATAGCAGATTCTTGAAGCCTGAGTCAGAAAGGAAAAGATAAAATACTTCAAACACAGACTGAAGAAAGAAATAAAATAAAACGTCAAATAAGGAGTCTGGTGGAACACAAAATTGTAAACAGGAAGGCGCTGCCATCTTGACGGCCATCTGGGCAGCTCAGGAATTCAGGTCTGTAGGAGTGCCCATACCAGCAGCTGTCTGGCCTTCCTTCTGGTTCCCCATACCTTCTGGGGGGTCAAGGGTAAGACTTTGCCCCTCCACCAGGTGGCTGGGAGTGTTCACTTACCCCTGGCCACCTCTGTTCCAAGTCTGCCTGAGGCCAGGCCCAGGCCATTTTGTATCTGGCACTGGAAATGTACACATGATTATACACTCTGAAAACCCTTCAAGAGCCAATGGCTGACTGTGCCATGCTGGCCTGCAACCAGCTGCTAAATTAGTGGGGCACCCCTTCTGACTAGGGGTTTTCTGCTCACTGAGCACCCTTGCTGATAACTTGCTTGTCACATGCCACGGTCAAATTTGGAGCAGTTCACTCTCTATGGAGTATGTCACCTGTGGGCATCTCAGATGGCCAGTTAGTACCTCTTCACACTGGCCATCTCTGCCTGGGTAACCTGCCTGCACCAAACCCTGAACTGGCAGGACAACATCTCCACATAGGCAGACTGTCGTGGACTCCTGTGAGGCCAGCAGAAACTCCATTCCAGCCTAGTGCCCCACCCCTTGACATCTCTTGGACCAGAATAAATGCCGTCCTGAGCCTGGCTTCTGTACTGGGACCTTAGCCACCTCTTATGTGTGCGGAAACTCTGATCTGACTGGCCATCCTAATAAGAGTTCCAAACTACTACTGAATTGGCAGACAGACTATCCCAGACAAGATACCTTGCCTCCACC